TAACATTCATGCACTGAGCAACATATTTTTGTGTGTTTCTCTTGAAGATGCTCCTATATGTACAGTAAAGCCTAGTTAATGGTGATTCCCTGGTGTTATGAGAGAGCTAGCTAGATAGATAGATAGGCAGAGACAGACAGATAGACAGGTAAATAAACACAACCTACTTCCTCCACCTAATACAACCTACACCAGCCTCCTTCGCCCCTTGCCCTCCCCACACTACGACACAGGACAAGTCAGAAGGTCCACCGCTTTACCACACGGTATGGTAGCACATCCTCTACCCCTCCCTCCTTCTCTCCCTCTACCCTCACCTTTATCTTCCCTACCACCCTTGCCCCCCCCCTCCCCTCCCCATCACCCCCCTCTACTCCGTCTCTCAGGTAGGAGTGGAAGAGGAAGGGTTAGGTAGACCCGTGGTGAATGACAATGACCATTTTCCTTACGTCGACCCCATCAAAGCACCGTCCCCTATCGTTCTCTACGTCCTTCTGGCGCCCATTGCAACGCATTTATTAATAACCTCAACTCTTGGGCGTCTCCTGGAGGCCATGACGGAGGTTGTGTGGAGGCAGGAGGCCGCATGGGAAGTATAAAGGCCATGGATTAACCCAATGAGGTCACATAACACAGGATGGGTCAATGAACCATCTCTCTCTCTCTCTCTCTCTCTCTCTCTCTCAACAGTAGGCCACTTATCCATGCCTGTTGCTTCTCTACTAACCCTTGTTGTTGTTGTTAGTAGGATGAGAGGAAGTGAAAGAAGGTCAGAGGGGGTAATGTAGGATTAGAGCAGATAATATAGTGCTAGAGGAGGAAGGATAAAGACAAAAGGGGATTTTAATTAACTCAGGTTTATTCTTATCTCCAGCACACCCCCGACACTACCATCTCTCTCTCTCTCTCTCTCTCTCTCTCTCTCTCTCTCTCATATTTACTTCACTCCTCGACCACCTCCTCCGATTTGCTTTATTATTCCCTCCACTCCTTCCCGTTCCTCTTCACTTCTTCTCTTTTATTGTAGCCTTCCCTCATTCCTCTTATCTATCCTCCTCCTCTCGTAATTACCCCATGTCATTACCTCCTCCCCCCCCACAACCTCCCTAGAAAGGCCATGGTCAGGTGGTGTGTGTGTGTGTGTGTGTGTGTGTGTGTGTGTGTGTGTGGTGCTGTAATAAGATATATCTTTTTCTAATTCTTGATGACTTTATATCACACACACACAACCTTGACCACCTCCGGGTCAAGACGCAACTGGCGCTGTTCTAGCAGCAGCCACGTCAACTGTTATGTTGGCCCATACCAACTCCCTCCCCTGAACCCTCCTCCCCACCGGAATATAAAGAACATAAGAACATAAGAAAATAAGGAGTCTGCAATAGGCCGGTTGACCTGTGCATGGCAGCTCCTGTCGAGAGTTACTACCACTCTCTATCATCCATGAATCTATCAAGCCTCCTTTTAAAACTTTCCAGCGTTCCAGCACTTACTGCAAAGTTGCTAATCTTGTTCCACTCGTCCACCACCCTATTTGTGAACCAGTTCCTTCCTATCTCCCTCCTAAACCTAAACTTATCCAACCTAAATCCGTTGTTCCGAGTCCTATCCTGCTCGCATTTTATAAGAACTTTATCTATATCCCCTTTATTGATTCCTTTCACCCACTTAAATACTTCTATCATATCTCCCCACACTCTTCGTCTTTCTAGGGAATGCAAGTTTAGTTTCTTTAACCTATCCTGATATGGAAGGTTTCTAAGTCCCGGAATCATTTTCGCCATTCTTCGCTGCACCGACTCCAGTGAATTGATATCCATTCTATAATAAGGGCACCAGAACAGAACGAGGTGACTTCCACGTCAGCACAGGGCTTAATGGTCGGTCAAACGCGATATGAATAATTAGGATTCGTATCACCCTGTACTCATATCTTCCTGTACTCGTATCCTCCTGTATTCATGATTCGCATTCTGTACTCAAGACTAATATCCTTCTGTATTTAAAGACTTGTATCCTCCTGTACTCAAGATTCGTATTCTGTACTCAAGACTCCTCATGTACTCAAGACTCCTCCTGTACTCAACACTCGTATCCAGGGTGGAGAGTAGTTTCCGGGTGATTTCAATGCCAGAAAGTACCTATCAAACTGGCTGACTACATAACAGACTAACAAACAGAATCCCTAACAGACTAACAAACAGAATCCCTAACAGACTAACAAACAGAATACCCAACAGACTAACAAACAGAATCCCTAACAGACTACCAAACAGAATCCCTAACAGAATCCCTAACAGACTAACAAACAGAATACCTAACAGACTAGCAAACAGAATCCCTAACAGACTAACAAACAGAATCCCTAACAGACTAACAAACAGAATACCCAACAGACTAACAAACAGAATCCCTAACAGACTAGCAAACAGAATCCCTAACAGACTAACAAACAGAATCCCTAACAGACTAACAAACAGAATCCCTAACTGACTAACAAACAGAATACCCAACAGACTAACAAACAGAATCCCTAACAGACTAACAAACAGAATACCTAACAGACTAACAAACAGAATACCTAACAGACTAACAAACAGAATCCCTAACAGACTAACAAACAGAATCCCTAACAGACTAACAAACAGAATACCTAACAGACTAACAAACAGAATCCCTAACAGACTAACAAACAGAATACCTAACAGACTAACAAACAGAATACCTAACAGACTAACAAACAGAATCCCTAACAGACTAACAAACAGAATCCCTAACAGACTAACAAACAGAATACCCAACAGACTAACAAACAGAACTAACAGACTAACAAACAGAATACCTAACAGACTAACAAACAGAATACCTAACAGACTAACAAACAGAATCCTAACAGACTAACAAACAGAATCCTAACAGACTAACAAATAGTATACCTAACAGACTAACAAACAGAATCCCTAACAGACTAACAAACAGAATACCTAACAGACTAACAAACAGAATCCCTAACAGACTAACAAACAGAATCCCTAACAGACTAACAAACAGAATCCCTAACAGACTAACAAACAGAATCCCTAACAGACTAACAAACAGAATACCTAACAGACTGGCAAACAGAATCCCTAACAGACTAACAAACAGAATCCCTAACAGACTAACAAATATAATACCTAACAGACTAGCAAACAGAATCCCTAACAGACTAGCAAACAGAATCCCTAACAGACTAACAAACAGAATCCCTAACAGACTAACAAACAGAATCCCTAACAGACTAGCAAACAGAATCCCTAACAGACTAGCAAACAGAATCCCTAACAGACTAACAAACAGAATCCCTAACAGACTAACAAACAGAATTCCTCACAAATTACCTAACAGACTAACAGAATCCCGAACAGACAAACATAATTCCTAACAGAAAAACATAATTCCTAACAGACTAACTAACAGAATCCCTAACAGACAAACAGATTACCTGACAGACTAACAGAATCCCGAACAGACAAACAGAATTCCTAACAGAAAAACATAATCTCTAACAGAGTAATAAACGTAACAGACTCCCTACATTAACAAACTGACTGACCACCATAACAGGAGACACGACACACGGTAGACAGCCCTATATACACAGCGCTGTCCTGCATATTAGATGGCAGTCATGAGGAAAGTTTCTATATACCAGCGGCCATATGATGATGATGATGATGGTGGTGGTGATGATGATGATGGTGGTGGTGGTGATGATGATGATGGTGGTGGTGATGATGGTGATGATGATGGTGATGATGACGATGATGATGATGATGATGATGGTGATGATGATGGTGATGATGATGGTGATGATGATGATGATGATAATGATGGCTCTTGTAATGAATTCTGTCTCTAGTTACATATTTAACCTAACCTAATTTAACTTTGCGCTAACCTAAATTAATCTAGCGTAGCCTAAATTATTCTAGAGTAACCTAACCTAACCTAGTCTAACTTAACCTAACCCAACCTTATTTAACTTTGTCCTATTCTAGCTTAATCTAGCCTATCTTAGCCTAACTTAACCTAGCATAACCTAACATAACCTAGCTTGACCTGGCCTAACTTAACCTGACCTAACTTAACGTAGCCTAACCTAGCTTGAAATGGCATAAGTTAACCTAGCTTGACCTGGCCTAATTAAAGTTAACCTAACTTAACTTAACCAAGCTTAATTTAACCTACCTTAACCTAACCTAACCTCATAGCCCCAAATAGTTTATAGTTGTTTAATCTTTAGGCGAAATAACCTGGGTTGGTGATTGTTCAGGTGATCCCTATATTACGACACCAACCTCACTGTAATACTGGGTTCCTTATCATCACTACTTACTGTACCCGAGAAAAAAAAGTTGTAGTAACTGAAACTAACATAAGCAGATGACAGACCAAGACGAAGATTATAATAGTGACGACACAAGACAAGACAGGGTAAAAAAATGTTACATGACATAAATTCTGGTACTGAAAGCGTCAATAATTAATTCATCGGTTTACATTTACATTACAGTGTTTGCTTCTCACACACGGAATATCAAGCATCACCTACATCAAGCTAACTTTCTTTAATTAATCCTCTAGACACAGCAGCCAGGATGATCATAACAATGAGGATGTTTCTCTTAAGCTGGGATATGTGCCCGTTATCCCTTGGCTCCGCCCCCATACCAACCATGCTCCGCCTTCCCTCAATAGACGCCGCCCTCTCCTGTTATGCTCCGCCCACTGCTCCGCCCACTACTCATACAAATAAAATCCAGGTCACTAGGACTCACGTGAGCCGCTATGACGTCAAGCAGCAATAAGGTGCCTGATGTTGTTATTTCATGGAATTTTCCCACTGTTTCTGTAATTTATATTCTATTAGAAAGTTAAAATTTATCTAATACATCTATAATATACAGGAGTATTCAATCAAAAACATCAACCTGTAAATGTAAAAGAGGGTGTTGTTCAGTGTTATACCGGCGTCGCGCTGCCAGACGTCAGAACAAAAGCTTTGGCTCCTAGCTGTGCGAGTGTATCATTGAAAGACTGCGACTCACGAGGGAGGTGGTCAGCCGGGATGCATTCTATGATAGGTAAGCTTTGACTACTTTTTTTTTGTATGTACAATCGGCTAATCGATAGAGGACAACAGTGTGTAGCAATAAAGGGTTTGATGCGCTAGGGTTAAAATGTGTTTCTAACATTACTGTGTCTTGATTAACTAATAGGGGTGAATATCAACTGTTTCTCTTGTCATTTATTTATATTATAAATTGTTCTCAGTGTTTGCTAAGGTGTTATAGTGATATATACAGTAGGTAGTAGGCAGCTATCAAACAGGGAGGTACTACCAACCGGGAAGATATTGGAAACATAATGTGTTGTCTAATGGTAGACCCTGCTGCCATATGGCATCACCAAGTCCCAGTTTGCTGGTCTGACATTCCGCCTCATTTACACACAATTGCAGGGCCGTTTCTCACTTTCGATTTGTTTCATTTGTTTCCATCTCTGTATTTATTTTTGTTTGTTTTTGTTATTGTTTTGCCCCAGGCCCCGACGTGGGTGAGTGACCTGTGTCTCGGTGGACTAATCCCCGTAAAAATACATGGTCCTACCTTGGTAACACTGAGGCGGTGTATGGCTATGTTTACTGTACTATCGTGGACAAAAGTTCGCTCCCTGTAGTGAAACTGAGACCCGGGAATGAGTCTCCCAACTGACTTACCTTGATTGTTATCTGGTGCGGGTCGATACTGCTTCAGTTTGGGAAGGAGCAAACTTTAGTCCACGATAGTACACCACAAACTGAGGTACACAGCAGTACAGTACCAAGCACCCGCAAACACAACACGCCACCATACCTGGATATGTGTAATAGTCCCGCTATTACATATTGAGGGCTAGTGGGACTACATATTGAGAGCTAGTGGCACTATATATGGAGGGCTAGTGGCACTCTTACTCAGGATTAGTGGCACTACTACTCTTACTCAGGATTAGTGGCACTACTACTCTTACTCAGGATTAGTGGCACTACTACTCTTACTCAGGATTAGTGGCACTACTACTCTTACTCAGGATTAGTGGCACTACTACTCTTACTCAGGATTAGTGGTACTACTACTCTTACTCAGGATCAGTGGCACTACTACTCTTACTCAGGATTAGTGGCACTACTACTCTTACTCAGGATTAGTGGCACTACTACTCTTACTCAGGATTAGTGGCACTACTACTCTTACTCAGGATTACTACTCTTACTCAGGATTAGTGGCACTACTACTCTTACTCAGGATTAGTGGCACTACTACTCTTACTCAGGATTAGTGGCAGGATTAGTGGCTCTTACTCGGGATTAGTGGCACTACTACTTACTCAGGATTAGTGGCACTACTACTCTTACTCAGGAATAGTGGCACTACTACTCTTACTCAGGATTAGTGGCACTACTACTCTTACTCAGGATTAGTGGTACTACTACTCTTACTCAGGATTAGTGGTACTACTACTCTTACTCAGGAATAGTGGCACTACTACTCTTACTCAGGATTAGTGGCACTACTACTCTTACTCGGGATTAGTGGCACTATTACTCTTACTCAGGATTAGTGGCACTACTACTCTTACTCAGGATTAGTGGCACTATTACTCTTACTCAGGATTAGTGGCACTACTACGTATTTTGGGCTTTATAATTTTGACGTGTGCGTGGTTGAGTGTCTGTATTTGTGTGTACGGGTTAAGCACGTGTGTAATTACGAGAGAGCATGTTTTCTTGTGTGTACTGGTGTACGTGTTTGTGACTGCATGTGTACTTTTGTTTGTGTCTGTATCGAAATATGGTCAACGCTGAACACATGTACACTATTTGTATAGGTATGTAAACAATCAAGTCCTTTTAACCTTACTTCCCTGCCATAGGTAAGTCACCCTTTGATCTGTACTGACATCCCCCTCGCCCATAGGATATCCATACACGTTTAATAACCTGGATACGACTTGGCAGATAGAAATAACATTAGGTTTTACTTTATTTTTTTTACTGGGATTAGCCCACCCGGGCACAGGTCACTGACCCACATCGGGGCCTGGGGCCGAAAATGTAATAATAATAATAATTCATAGTAAATAAAAATTTTAATAAAAAGTAAAATAAAATATTAATAATAATAATAACACTGATAATAATAATAAATACACTGTACAAGAAAGAAAGAATCAATACTGTAGTGAGAAAAGCTGTATGTATGTTGTGTTGTCATGTAAGAGAAACAATTGAGACCCTGCAATTGTGTGTAAAAGAGGCAGAAAGAGATCAACAACCTGAGACTTGGTCACATATGGCAGCAGGGTCTACCATAGACAACACATTATGCTTCCAATATCTCCCCAGGCGGTAGTACCTCCCTGTTTGATAGATGCCTACTACCTACTCCTGGGTTAGGTTAGGTTGGGTTCATGTCAGTAATAACAAGACACTGTTTAATTAATGGTCAATTTGGAGAAGAAAAACGTTCAGCTATATTGATTATGTTATTTTGATTGTAATAAAAATATGATAATGAGAAAGACGAACAGACAATAGATAGGAGATAAAGATATATACACAGACAAAGAGAAACACAAGTAACGGAATAGATAGACACAAAGAGACGAAACGGATCAGACAAGAAAAAACTGACAATATGACAAAGAGGCAGGCGTACAACGTGAAGAGAACGATGGGGAGGAGAGACAGGGAGGAACCCATGTATAGTGTCCCTCGACCACCACAGGTAATACAGTTAGACGGCCAGGGGGTACCAGAGGAAGAGGAAGAAGAGCTTATTGTGAGATAAAAAAATAACAGCGAGAGAGAGAGAGAGAGAGATCAGGACTCAGTCTAACGCCACTTGCTCACCACAGGTATCACGTTGTTGGTGTGTGTGGCAGGGGGCATCACCCTGGCGGAGGTGCACTCTGTCTCCGACAATGACCTCCTCTCAGCTATCACCTGGGCCACCCTCGATCTCCACAACCTACCCCAACCTGGGCTCCTGACCTCCCTCGAGCGCCTGAACATGACCTCCGTCGACCTAGACGAAAGTCTTGGCTCTTTGGCCTCCCTAGAGGGCCTTGATTTGAATTGGAATGACCTCGAGGCTAGGAATGTGACCCCACGTCACTCCCGACGCAAGAGAAACTTAGAAATGATCTTCCATGAACCTGGAGATATTGAGGTAAATATATATTTATATGACTATTTAATTCAATATTTACCTTTAAATGTTTGCAGTATGTAATATCTACAAATAATGTTTTCATTACACTTTATAATATCCCTTATGTATGTTTATATTATTCTATTAATTTAGTCCATATACAGTATCACTAATACTTTATGAAAAGGAATATTATTTAATATTTTTATTAATTTAAACATGGTATTAATCAACAATATTTTCATATGACTTTTGCTATAATTATAATTCTTATACAAACAGATGTATTTTTTTAATCATTTGATTTTTTATACATCATATTATCCATTAATTTTACACCTGACATAATAACACCCGTTGTCCGGCCACTAAAACCTTCGCTAATGACAAAAGTTTACGCTTACTTTAAAAATTATGTTTGGTACAAAGAGGAGGTTGACTTGTGGGAATCAGTATTTTAACCCATGTAATAGCTAATATTTATGGCCATTAATAAATAAATAAATACTAGGCCAGCTCTAACTCGAGTCGTTAAAGACTTTCTACTAAAGATGTTGCAGCCAGAGTTCTGATCATTTTATCCAGGACCATCACACGTCTTGTAGTGTTGTGTGTTATGGAACGTATCTTAACATACCCCATGTCCACTTCAGCAGTTTTACACGTCTCAACACACTCCACTATATCTACTTCAGTAGTCGCAACACACACTACCATGTCCACTTCAGCAGTTATACACGTCACAACACACTCCACTATATCTACTTCAGGAGTCGCAACACACTCTACCATGTCCACTTCATCATGTAGTCGTGAAGAACAGCTCTAACCCACTCTTTATTAAACAGGTGGAGCTCAAGTTTATCATTCCAATGTTCAACGTATATGAATCCACCAACCTCAACTTAGAGTTGCCATTCGTGTTCTCGATGGAATTGCCAGAGGAGAAAAATAACCCTTTCATCGTAGGGAAGAAGAACGACAGGAGGTGGGACGATACGGTGGGCACCATGATGGCCGACCTGGAAACCCTTGTGTCTATGTGAGTATCCATGTCGCCCTCTGTAGTACCGTGACCTCTCTGTCGGCACCCGCAAGGTCATTCAGCGAGCTCATTTAAGCCTATACCCTAATCTTCTGAGTCCCTTTGATCTACTGGGATATTGCCTACAGTATGTAAACTCCTCTTTTTCACGTGGGCACCTTGAAGTCACTCCTAATTTCTCCTCTATGCAATCTAACTTCAGCCTATTTTGGACATTAATCCCAGCATATTCTCAACACAGACCCATTGCAAGACCTATGTGTGACATGGTCCAGTGAACATGTGTAGGAAGGTGTCTTGTTCATGTTTGTGTTACAATCTGAACACGCCGAGAAGAATACCTAACAAAAGTACTGTACTGAAATGACTCCTCGTATGTTTAGGTTGGGTGTAGACGGCGGCGGCTGTGTGAGGAAGGCACTGTGTGAGCTGGCTGCCATGCCCCCCATCACGCCACAGGGCCTCACCGGGGAGATGATGCAGCTTCTAGTCAGGTGGGTTCCCTTATTTATTTATTTTATTTTTTTGGTGAAGAAGTTCCAATACGTCAATAAATATTTTTATAAACACAATTAACATCATCAACACGTAGTAATCATTTTTAGTCAGCTTTATAGTGATTTCAAGTTCGGTTATCACGACTCACTTGTTTCGTTGCAGATACATGATGAACCAGGTCGAGGGGGAAGTAAATGCGATAAACCTGGAGGAAAGAGTGACTGAGAAAGAAAGAGAGAACAACAAGAAAGAAAAACTAGAAGAGATAAGTGTATCAGAGAAGCCGAATGGAGAAGAGGAGAAAGAGGACAGCCAGACAAAGAAACAAAAGGAGAAACACAAAGATGATGAGATAAGAGAGAGGAAGTGGAAGCAGAGTAAGGACTATGTGGATGCCACTATTCACGGCAAGAAGAATGGCGACTGTTGGAGCGCTTATCCAGAGTGTCCCCTCTCCCTCATGCACCTGCTGTCCTCTTATTAACACCTCTTCCTCCTCCTCCTCCTCCTCCCTCTTCCTGAACATCTCTTCCTCGACACCTCCCGGCACATAACTACCAAGACATTCTCTGCAACATAAGACGTTCTCTACAACACAAGACTTTCTCTACAACATAAGACGTTCTCTACAACACAAGACGTTTTCTACAACACAAGACGTTTTCTACAACACAAGACGTTCTCTACAACACAAGACGTTCTCTACAACACAAGACGTTTTCTACAACACCCACGACGTTCTCTACGACTCAAGACTTTCTCTACAACATAAGACGTTCTCTACAACACAAGGACGTTCTCTACGACTCAAGACATTCTATACAATGCAAGACGTTCTCTACAACACAAGATGTTCCCTATAACTCAAGACGTTCTCGATAACTCAAGATGTTCTCTACAACACAAAACATTATCTACGACTCAAGACGTTCTCTACAACACAAGATGTTCCCTATAACTCAAGACGTTCTCGATAACTCAAGACGTTCTCTACAACACAAGACGTTCTCTACAACACAAGACGTTCTCTACAACACAAGATGTTCCCTATAACTCAAGACGTTCTCGATAACTCAAGACGTTCTCTACAACACAAAACATTATCTACGACTCAAGACGTTCTCTACAACACAAGACGTTCTCTGCAACACAAGACGATCTCTACAACACTCAAGACGTTTTCTACAACACTCAAAAAGTTCTCTACAACACTCAAGACGCTCTCTACAACACCCAAGACGCTCTCTACAACACACAAGACGTTCTCTACAACACAATACGTTCTCTATAACAACACAAGACGTTCTCTACAACACTCAAGACGTTCTCAACAACACTCATGACGTTCTCTACAACACCCAAGACGTTCTCTACAACACCCAAGACATTCTCTACAAAAAATCAAGACGTTCTCTACAAAAAATCAAGACGTTCTCTACAACACTCATGACATTCTCTACTACACAGGACGTTCTCTACAACACTCAAGACATTCTCTACAGCACAAGACGTTATCTACAACACAAGATGTTCTCTACAACAACCAAGACGTTCTCTACAACAGCCAAGATGTTCTCTACAACAGCCAAGACGTTCTCTACAGCACAAGATGTTCTCTACAACAGCCAAGACGTTCTCTACCACTTTCAAAATTTCTGAACAGCAGCCTTCATTCTTGAGAAACTAATGCATGCTGATGAATGCACCTTAATAATCCTGATGATGAAGCCGCTAAAACTAAGATAAAAAAATATTTCTTCATCGAGACATTTCAACAGTCAAGGTAACACAACGTGATCTTCAATGTGCAACTGAAAGGACGAACAACTCATGGGGTCAAAGGTCAGGTCACAACGGAGATTTTGCATTGGTATATTCAAACTCTCACAATATATTTCATCAGTCAGATGGGGACTTACTATAAATATATATTTTTTCCTTTATAAATGGTTGATAATTAGTGTGGTGTGGTAAGTTGTATGAACTAACCTAGAATACACGCTTATTGACCTTCGTTGTTCATCCCTTAACTACGGGGACCCCACTTTTAGTATTTTATTCGACTACCGCCAAACAATTTTATTCACCTCAGTGGGGACCCCATACACAAGGGCTTAAGGCACACAGTAATCCAGTCATACTTTTGATCACCTGGGTCACGGTACATCTCTTGAAGGTTGACTCTTCCTCTCTAACGATCTGACACGTTGCATTAAAGACCTATTACATACTTATGTGTCCTTTGTTTGTGCACTTAGCCTCCTCTGCTTGTGTCCATATAACTCAGGATTACTTTGGTTGTGGGCAAGTCTGCTTTACTGAATGTGTCTTAATATCTGTGTATGTTTTTGTGTGTGATTGAGAGTGTTGCATGCATGTCACTATGTATCTATGTTTTTGTGTGCTTTTAAGGGAAAATAACACCTATAGTAGTATGGAAACAACACAAAATCAAGTGCTGCTGTGTTTTCTCTTATACATATTCAGGGAAACTAAAAACAAACAATTAAATTTAGTGAAATACAATGATAAGGGTTTCTCAGGGTGCAGAAGATACTGTACTGTACTTCTAAACAGGATTTAACACTTCAGAAAAGATCTAGTATACTTATTTATTAGTTACTTTACAAAACCCTTATTTATTATGCAATTAACCTGTAAGTGTTAATGGTTTTAGTCTTGCAAGCAAGTGGTTCAAAAACAGTGTAAAACTGTCATGTATACAATAAAAAACTCCACAGAGTATTTTGTTTTAATCTTTTGACATTATTGGTCACACCAGCACTGCATGATGGGGGCCTCTGACACCCCCACCTCCTAACACAGGACACCAGAAGCAGAAATGACCTGATAATGTCAACACACAATTGGAAAGCCTAGAAATGTATCTTCTGGAGAACTTTCTTAAAACCATCAATTAAGGAGACAAGAAAAAGAAGGATGGCATACTTTAAAAAAATCCATTTAAGAACAACATTCAGGAGCTCTGGAACCCTTAGGAACTTTCCCAGGATCATATCTGAACAATTTAATACTGTATCATTAATGACGTCTTCAAGAAATTCATAAACAAATTTCCAAGCAAAAGACAACAGCGGATGACCAAACAAAAATAGTTTACAAAGCTCGATTACAAAGGAGTTACAATGACATTATAATTACTGTAGTGTGTAACTTTAGCACACCAGTCACTCCTCCATTCTGTCACTAGGAGCTGCACAAAGCTCAAGGACCAATCATTGGGTACTATCATGGGTCTTAGTTGCTTGTTTTTTGCTAGCAATACCCCCATGCAATTTTTTGAGCTAAGAAGCTGTATCTTGGACACAAGAGTCACCAAAAGCTTCCACCAAATTGTTTTTCCTGAAAAACCTTTAATAAATTGATTTTTCATAAATTGGATCATATTTTCCATATACTGGTACACCCATTATAAAAGCTGAGATACATTCCTACACACAAAAAAAAGCTTCCCCAAACGTCTTCAAGTGCCAAAATAAAAACTTTTGGTGTACACATTAATTATAAACCATTATTATACATAAGTGAAATAAAATCAGTGCAGTACTGCAGTAATAAATTTATACCTGTACAGTACTTACAAGAAACTGAATTAGATTTACCTTACCTTATTTACCTAATGGCCACCCACTGTGTAGGATCCCTCCAATGTTCTTGATAGTCTTGTCTAGGGATACTGTGAAGCCCAGTACTACTGTTTTCGATTCCACAGCTTGGACTGGTCAACTAAGCCAACATCTATAATAAATATATTACTGTAGTAATACATTTATTTCCATTTTATAATTGAAGATACTGTACTATGTTCTCTACGAAAAGAAATTCCCACACTCAATCCTTGGCGAGCTATTGCATTATCCTAAATTCCAGCCGCTTTGTTTACATGGCGTAAATGCTGCCATCAGTCACTACACTCAATCTTTTGTGCTTTGCTATTAATATCCACACCTCCAAACATTTGTTCACTTGCAAATTCCACACTTTCTCTTATAACTCTACACCTTTATTGTACATAGTTGGCATATGAAATTTAAGAATATAATAACTTTCTTTTACTGAATTTTTTTTCCCCATACAGTATTACATGAAAATTCATGAGAAGAAATTGGACAATCGGGCAACTGGAGACTTGTCTATTTGTCCCCCGGGTATAAAGGAAATGCTTTGGGTAACTATGACAGGTGTAATGAAACAGACACACCCTAAGGATACTGTACACTTCTAATGGGTCACTCTACCCTGCCCCTAGCCAATTAATTATTGTTGCAAGTGTACATATAAAGGCAAACATACTGTACTTCCACTATGATAACAACGTAAAGATATAAATGTGTGTGGGAATGGTAGTGAGTGTGTGTGTGTGTGTGCAAGATACATTTTGGTGCTGGCACAATTGTCACTCACAATTGAATGAACACTGTGCAATACTGTATATAATTCAGTTTCTTTTGGAACAGGACATTTACAGGGAAATTAATAATAAGAGTGAAAAATAGGTTATGGCCAAACAGCAAATGATACCTAGAACTTCATTATTATTACCTGTACTATTATTATTATCAATAATAATTATAATAATAAAAAGAATATTAGATGAGAAGTAAAGTAACTATAGGGCTTAAAAACTACTACTCAGCAATGGCCACCCTAGAAATTCCTAGTTTCTAGACAATAACAACGGTTAACTTTAGAAACCACTGTGGCAAATATTAATGGTAATAATGGGAGATTAAAGAGGAGTGCAGTCATTCAGGTAGATGTGTTTACAATTGTTAAGAGGAAATTAAACACTCTTGTAATCTTTATCAATTTTTCAGTCTATGGTTTAAAAGCTTTTTCTCAAAATATACACATTCAAATATCTTCTTCCTATTCCGGATATCATTACAGTAGAGAGCATTTTTCTTCAGATTCGCTGTCTAGTACATATATCTTTCACCCATATTGATGGAACCATCAACAATATTGTACAGTATAGTCTGGATTTACACAGTTTTTGTTTACGCGTTTGGTCATTTACTCGGTGCCTTGCCAGAATGAAATGTTTTAATTACGCGGTAAATTTCATCATTTGCGCGGCGAGCGGCTGGAGAGGTCCAGACGCGCCGCGCCATTTTTTACTCACTCGGTCCATTCTTGACCATACACGGGAAGCGGCGCGGTGAGGGGTGCGCATTAGGTCGCTCTTACGTTATCGCTGACGTCATATGACGTATCGTACTGTGATTGGGCCACGCATCCTTACCACCCACGCATTCCCTCCGCCGCTAGCTGTGATTGGTCTAATGTAACATTACGTGCCCTGCCACCAGAAGTCGCTGGCCTAGCCGGGCCAGTCCGCGTATACAGTTCTCTCTTGTGCCCGCTATTCCCCTCACAATGGCTTCTGCTGGACCCCCACCACCCCAGATAAACCTTGAATTACCTGGACCAGGCCATGATTATGTGAAGGAAATCATCAAGTTGGGGGAGAAAATTAAGCTCATCCTTGACAACGACCCAGACAAGCATCGGTATGAAGTGTCTAATAACCATCTGTCAAAAGTTATGGAGCCGTATATCCAGATCTATCTCGACAACATCAATGCTAGTCGTCAACGTAGTATTAAGGACTTCTTCACCCGCAACCCACCACAACCACAGCCAGCCCAAGTCAGTGATAGTGAGGATATGGACTTTGAGGGGTTTGTCTGGGAGGCCCTGCAAACCTCTGCGAGTAGTGAAAGAGATTCACCGGACGGCAACTAATCTGCCCTCTGCCTCGGAACCAGCCGCCATCCACGTGTGACGACCCATCGCTTCTACTAAGGTAAGTTTTAAACACCTTTAAATTTGTAGTTTTTTATTTAGATATTATGTGTGTAGCAATACCATCATAAAATTATCATGTTATTTTTACTACAAGGTAAGTATTGTGTCGGAAAAAGTGGAGTTTGGGAGTCGGCCCAGTCTCTATTTCAATTAATCCCATATGTTCTGTTATTTCGTTTCCGCGTTTCTCGTTTTACGTGGACCTCCATGGGTTCAATTGATCGCGTAAATGCAGACTATACTGTATTGCCAAGCTGGTGGCACAAAATGGACATTATGACAAGGTGCACTACAGGTATATCAAAATTGCAAACTTGGAGAATACAGAAAGGATTTTTTTGTTTTCAGACAACAGGTGAATAGATAGGGTAAACTATGAATTATCCATATAAAACCTTCTTTAACATGATACAATATGTGATGATAATTGACAGCATTATAATAAAATAAAACACTTACGTCATGTGCCAAGTATGTAGTAGCATAAAGCAAATCTTATCAATAAAAAAGAAAGATAAAATAAAACAATTTTTTTTCATTATTTAATACTGTACCTAAAGCTTCAGAAGACAGGAGAATAGTTTGAAAGTTACACGTATTGGTGAAATATCTTCAGAGGACAAATAAATCTCGTGTGCCTGAGTTTCTGAAGAGTTCCGATCTAAACAAAATTACTGGAAGGTAATTCTAGTGCATACAGATTCCCAGATGAACTGTTGTGTCATTCAAGTGAGACTCAGGCAGAGAGTGAAACAACAGATGACAATTTACCAACCTATGTAGTAAAGTGACACAGGAGAGTGAATTTGTTTTTTTATCTACACTTCTATTGCTAACATACACGTCTGTTATCAAACATTCCCCTATCCACTAGGATATTTCTGATGATTGCCCACATAAAAATACAAAACACACTATTTACTATGATAACTGGTATTAAAGTGTATTTTGGCATGCAACACTCAACACAAGCAACTACAATATAATATTTATTTAGACGGTATAGTTGATTAACCCTATAGAAATGTGCCACCATACCTTTGTTACTCAAGACATCAAATTATAAATAACAAGTTATGAAGTTGTATGGTATATCATATTTTATTCCAGAATAACTGTTTGTGGGAAAAGATTTGAACCAAATTTATCAATGGTAAAGCATTACTCCACTTACATAAATGTTAAAGTTCAATACCAGAGTTATTCATGATTACATTATGCTCAATATTAAATTTAATCTGGATCTTAAGGCAAAGGAATCACTGAATGTTCAATAAGTGTGAGTGACCAACATCAAGGCTACTAAAGTACCACTAGGCGGTCCTCACTAACAAAAGTATTGGTACACATTCACATCATAGTATGTACTGTACTCTTACAACAGCATTTTATAGCAGAAGGTATATAGACTATAGATACTTTTTGTAACACTAAAAACATATTGAATATATTAAGTCTTCCATATTAATGACAGTGTGAATGAATAATACAAGTGACAATATTCTGAATGTAATTCAACATTTACTAGCTTATGTAGTACCAAGTACACTTTAGCTGTTATACATTCAACAAAAGTTGTTTTAAGCAACTTTGTTGCCTGTAGAAAAAAATGACATGGATCAAAGAATCTCATCCCACTCTACAATAATTTCCTTCAATGTGACCATTAATTCTGGATTATAAAAAGTTTGATGAAATTATTAATTCTCAGAAGCTAAATGACAGCAAAAATTTGTTGAGGTAGTTGAAGATGGGTTACATGGCATATACCCCCGACCTCAGGTTGGCTCTTGCTTTCATCAATATACTCTGAACTACTGTACTCAGTAGTATGTCACTTCTCTTGTGTCTCAATAATTAAGTAAATTTAATAAATGCAACAAACTGAAAAATTATCATATAAAACAAGGCTACCAGAATGTGTTTCAGCTGTATATAGCAAACATGACTGAGTTTCAAGTCCTGGATATCATGCAAGACAGTTTCCACTATTTTATTAAGAAAAGTATCATAAATGGGCTTTGATCAAGTTTCATTCAGGGATTTCTCATTTAACATTAACATATAAAGGCAAGAGTTTGTGATTACCATGCTGAAACAACAAACTCGCTTTATGTACAGTATAAATGTTACTGTTTAAAGAAGTATGTTTGAGTATATCCTACCTGCTCGCATTATCTTCATTATGTGTAATTAAACTCTTAAAGGAAATTATCGACCACCATCACATTATTTTGTACATGTTGCAGAATGTTTGTCACCATCACATTATTTTGTACATGTTGCAGAATGTTTGTCATGAGTGGCAATAAACATTATAAGAAGTGAGTGGCAACTGCAAATGACTTGGAAATAAAAAACTGTCTTTCTTTTTAAGAAGAATAAACATAAGTCACACCATGTTCTTTCCAACCTACACATACACTGCTACCTTTTAGTCATATACTAACAGTACAAAATTCCTAACAACCTCAGTTAACTGAAAATCTACAAAAAGTTTTAAGTCAATAAGCAAACAAAAGTGTGGCAGTGAAAATTTGTGAATATTACTACTTTTAAGTATGTAATACCTAGAACACTTAATATTAAAATCCTGAGGTAAAAAGATGAAGTTAAAAAAAAAGTGTATGCACATAACTAAGAAATTTGTTTAAAACAATTGCAATAGGACATTAAATGCTGTGACCATTGATACTGGGTCCCAGGAAGTGCTTACAAGGGTCGTCCTGTTTAGTGACACCAGAACAAGCCCTGTGTCCTCTGAGCCCGCATCACAGGAGACCACTACATTAATAGAATAAGTAACAATATTAAAGACTAAGAGATTATATAACTTTCAAAAAGAGTCATTCAGTAGTAAGTCCACCAATCATGAAATATATAGATATTTATATATATGTATATATCCAAAATAAGGATGGCTAAATAAGCATCCATTTCAAATTTATGCCAGAGCTTTAAACTATTTTACAAGGCATCATTTTTTAATGTGACATAGAAAGTAGGATGCAAGTTGGTAGCTTCCAACCATGCTAACTTGAAGGGTTACACAGGAAGTTGTTAAGGTTTTGATAAGGCCTCGGTAATAGTTACCTATAATGACTGTTGTCATGCATATTTACTGTACTACCAAGTGACACACTAAAATGACACCTTATTTCTACAACAGTATTAACTTTGAAAGAATTTGGCTCTTGTACTTTATGCTTGCAGTGCCAAATTATCAAATTAGTCAAACTAACAAAAACTGGTAAGGTAATTCTACAAACAGCATCTAATTAGATTCAAAGTTATAAGACTTCTAAAATTACTAATCAGCATGATCTGCAGGTACTTTGTTTTTTCTTCATATTTTCATGCTGTACCAGTAAAACAATAAAATATATCTTGATTTTAATTTAAAAATTCATATCTTTTGTGGTTAACCGGAATGGTAGAAAAATCCTTGTTTACGATGTACCAGTCCCAACCTTTACACAGCACGGATACTCTGCAAAGAAATTAAAATTACGTAGGTAACAAACATTACAATACTGTTCATAAAAGATCAATACAAATTCCATAAAAATGCTACCGGTATTCGGTGTCACAGAACTTACAGATAAATGGTTAAGTAAGTCCTACAGTATACAATACTGTACTATACAGGTACAGTATTTATCCTCCTAAAAGCATAGATTTATGATTTTTTAATATGGTCTCCCTCAGTAAGCAATACACACACAAAACATTTAAATTAACAAATTAATGAAGGTACACAAATATAATTGACAACCCATATTACATAAAAAATAGAAATACAATACACAAAACATAAATGAGAGACACTATGCTGTATTGACAAAGGAAATCCCATTTTAAGAGTGGGAAGAATATTGCAAGCTGCCTATGAGAACCAAACCACTAAACACAGTCAAGCAGAATGTGCCTTTTGCCAGGGCCTTGGTAAAACCCATCACCAATACTTCAAATTACACAGGTAATATCACATACCAGTACCGGGCCTTATGGGCCATAACAGTAGATATTTAATATAAAGTTCAATTGTTCTAATACAACTTAAAGAAATTAGTGAACGCTTTAGCTTCAATGGATGTCTACAGCCTCTCTCTACAATATCTTGGCCTTGGAAAAATCTCTCAGACATCACATCACCAATGTCCTTAGTGTATTTCAAGGAAGAGGAGCTTGCACTTTCTCTCTCTTGTAACCATGATGCTGCTTTTAGCTCCAGCATTTTAATTTCTTCTGATCACTGTTTTTGTTACAGCATGACAATTATATAGTGTTCTACAACTTTGAGGACTTTTTTTTTCCTAATACTGTAATTTACAAAGGTCATTTACCTGTGAGGTAGCAGGAAATCTAAAACTAAACTACAGCTCACTTTTTAACTAAAGTTGATCATTAGTAGTTTATTTATTACTAATTCACCACAACACGAGTAAGATACTGGTGAAGATCTTACTCACCTGGTTAATGTCAAAGCCCTCCTTCAAAAAGTAATCTCTACCTGAGTGTGTTTAGTGGTTTACATGTTTTAAGTCATTCTCTGGTGTTCCCTAAAGGCCATATCACATAGGTCCATGTATGACTGAGCAAAGTGCCATTGGTGGAGCTTCTCGGAGTATCCCATAAGTGATATAACACTGACCTATTTTGGTAGAGCATAGTCAGCTTTCCTGTATCCAGCTGAAAATGCTTGGCTGAACTATAAAAGAAACATGATCTACAGCAGGGCTGGCATTGGTCTCACTTTATTATGAGTGCAGCATCAGCCTCCCTAGACCACATAATAAATTAAAGACACATCATTCTTCTACTTTGGAGCACAAAGGTAAAGTTGTAAACAAATTGAGAAGTTAAATCTGATGTTATTTTTAGTACAAAATATCAAGTTATTTCAATATTGTCTTCATGATCCAGTAACAAATTAGAGCACATCATTGTTTCAAAAGAGCTTATGTATTATTCATTTTAAAGCAGACAGTAAAATAGATTTCACGTGTACTCCGAGTTTGCACAAGGACTGGACCTCTGGCTCCAATCATAGTGTTTTTTCTTGCTCAGGGAAAACAGAGCTGTTAGAGTATTACGCTCAGGCATAGGAAGCCCGTGTGATACAGGCTTAAGTCACAGGTTGGGCTCAGTTATGTGTGCCAACAATATTGTAAGAGTAACAACATATCTCATCCCCTCTATTTTTTCCCTTTTCACAAAGAAATTTATAAATATGTAGACAGTCCCCTAGTTACAAATGCCCGACTTACAAACACCCGGACTTATGAACGGGATCCCAATATATTTTATAAACAAAATCCCATTTTTTACATTACTGTACTTTCAATAGTTTACTGTATATTTCTTATCACTTTATTTACAGTACAGTACAGTATTTACAATACAGTATTTGTTGTGAATGGGATACTATTGTTGTTTTGTATGGGCAGTGTCGTACTTTAACCTAACCTCAACTATGTAATTAACACTGTTCCGACTTACTAACAGGGTCCAGGAATGTAACCCATCCATAAATTGGCGACTGCCTCTCTGTGTGTGTGTATGTGTGTATGTATGTATGTATGTATAAAAGAATCACTTAAAACAGTCCCAGATACAGTACTGTATCTACTATTTATGAGTCATAGAGTGAGAAGAGAGTAACAGCTCATCATCTCTCTGTAAATGCTGGACAAAAAAGGATCAGCACAGTTTCCTGCTTCACACATTCTACTTTCATTACCAATGGCCACAACGGTATCCTTTGCTCTATATATCTTTAACTCTGATGATGCTTCTTAAAGCTGTAACTCAACACAACCAGTGATATATGAACCATATTTTTTTTTTTTTTTTATTATCTGGAAGTTACCGGTGGTCCTCTTTTATGGTACGTACAATACTGTAATTTATTCTTCCTTTTACTGTACCTTTTTACCCACTTTTCTTGACAAACTATTGTAGCCAATTACAGGGTAGGAGAAAAATAACTAATTGCCTAATGTAGGACATTCGCTTCTTGTGCTAAGAATATTTTGTGCTCCTATAATAAAACAGACGACTGGTGGACAAGGATTGCAGTGATGACTGAATACCCAAAACTTGTGTTCAGTTGCTACATGCAACCTGGTTAACAGGATGGTCTGTGAAGTAGAACTCCTTCATGACATATTTTAAAAAATGAGAGGTGAGTGTAGAGAAATAAAAGAATATGACATCATCCAAATCACAGGAGAAGAATTGGCTGTGGCATACGAGACAGGTGAAGGATGTGCGTACAAGTAAGACACAGACATCGTAGCAGAATACAATACTGTACATTATAAAAGCTCAAATTTCTAAACATGTACCACATCTCATTAACTAAAAAATCCTCACTCTTATTACACAGAAGAACTTATTACATAGAGATTCAAGTACTGAATGATACTGACACTTAATGGGTGTGGAGAAAACTTCATGTTATTTCTAGAAAGTTGCATCTGCTACCCATGCTGTGAATGCAGCAGTTAGTATCTACAATGTACAGTACAGTACCCCTATATACTTGATGCAAATAAAGGTTTTGTTTTTATCCATTATAAGGTTACCTGGCTGGCCACAGGCAAGTGAACATACACACATCCATAATAACCTAATCAACACTACAATCTTAGTATGTTCAATACAGTACAAGAAACAAACAATTCACAAGGTAAAAAGACAAACATTGCTGACCAAACAAACAAATACATCACATTTGTGTTCAGAGAAGGTAAGTCAGCATGTAAACATTCTGTACAAGTATATATCCTACAAAAAAGTTTAATCATTGCATTAAAAAATTACTGTTAAATCTAACACCTGAAAAAAGAATTACCAGTTAAGTGAAAAAGCTTATGATGAAAATAATCCTGAAAAAAAAAGGAAAAAATTATCTTATGTTGACATTATTCATTCAGACTGACTGGTCAGGCAACAAGATAAATTTGAAACATAGCAAGTTTAACCAAGTTATGTTCAACAGTAAAGAAGACTTGTGTGCTCAACAATGCTGTGACTGATATACTGTACTGTATATATCTGATATACAGCTGCAGCCAAAATTCCCTCTTAACACAGCAGTATCTGGCCTCCACATAAAGGTCATATATGTAATTGGTTAATAGTTACTTGTCATTATAAATTATGTTAGAATGGCAACATGAAAAACCTATTACAGTATATTAAAAAGAAATACCCGAGTGAAAATAAGATATGCACCCAATCCCTCTCATCAATCTGACCCTCAAGTAGATGTTAGATACTATCAGAAGTGTCCAGAGAATTTTTTCCACAAGTGCATGGTACAAACATGCATTGTGAGGGTGTACACTAAAAACTAGATTCATGGAAAAAAAAAGTGAAAAGCCAACAATGTGTACGATGCATTATACACCTCCAAAAAATGCAACAACAATAACTGGAGCATGATTCACATTGCACAAGTGGAGTTCTACATCTTACTTCTCCAAAACATCTTCCACACATCCAAATTAGGTAATGAAGATTATCGATCGGTTGTAGGACTTGCCCAAGCAGGTTTAGATGACCGGTTATCCCATATGGCCTTGTGGGAGATGTGAGGAATATGTGGGTCATAATTTAATGCATTCCATATACAAAAAGTAGACATAAATGTTTGATTAATTAACATAAAACAAAAAGCACAATCTAGTGGCCATTTCACCGTGGGGAAAAAAATAATTCCTTCACTTTGTCCATAAAAAACATCATGTGAAAACAGAAAAGGAAGCAGAATGAAATTTAAATATGAGGAAGAGCACACACACACACACACAGAGAGAGAGAGAGAGAGAGAGAGTTGAAGAAAAGGTGGGAGAGTTGGACAAAGGCAGAGGTGAGAATGAAAGTAAGAAAAGAAACAGATGAAGCGAAAGGGAGAGAAGATTCATAGTTCTTCCCATTCCTCTCCTATTATATACTTCTTTCACTTCCACTAGAGAGGGTACAAGGGCTGGGAGACCAGATGGTGAGGGGAGGTAAGAGAAATATTAAAGGCAGAAGATGGAGGATTTACGATCACCCTTCACATCTATCATACCTTCCTTCTATGCCCCCTTCATGCCACCCTCTTCCAACCTCCCCTTCCATTATCCACAAAAAACAGAACTCTGAATGGGGAAATATTTATCTTACTCAAATGCTGTATATACAGTATGATAGTCCTTTTTTTTTATCTTTTTATCTTTAAATGTAAAAATCTAGTGAAATTAAATACAGTAGGTGATTGTACTGAATTAGTGTCAATAATACAACTTAAAGCCAATCCAGTATGTGTCCACACCTCCCCGTATGATATGGTAATTGATGATCCAACAATGATTACAAAACAAAAAATGGGGGAGGGGGGAGAGACAAGGACCAAATGAATGGCCACTGAGGTCTCCTGGTCTCACACCACCTGATTTCACCTAATGGTACTCGGGCGATCTCAGTAGATGACAGATT